TAGGAAAAAGAAGGATAAACTGTAGAACACCAGGTGGAAGAAACCTGAAAAATTCAGACCATGGGGCACTGCATATTTTCTTCAAAATATAAAAAGCTTTTTAAAATGAGGACATGGGGGCATGGTACACTTAAGAAGATATACAATGTGGTATGTGAATCTGATCTGACCACTCACACGAATAAACCAGTTTTTAAAATGACAACTGGAAAAATGTATATATGGAGGATAGTAGTATTGCTATTTTATTTAATTTTGTTTAAATTAAACAAAATTTAATTTGAATACATTAAATTATTAATTTAATTATAATGGCTTAGTTTTTATATTAAAGAGGGAAATTCTTATTAGCTGCAATTATTTCTACATGGAACGACATATCTAGAATTGATTAAAAAATATTTCCTCATTATAACAAATGCCGACAGTGCCAGGTGTGGTGGTTCACACCTGTAACCCCAGCAACTTGGGAGTCTGAAGCAAGAGGATCACAAGTTGAAGGCCAGCCTCAGTAACTTAGTGAGGACCTAAGTAACTTAGACTCTGTCTCAAAATTTTTAAAAGGAGTGGAGATGTAGCTCAGTGGCAAAGCATTCCTGGGTTTAATCACCAGTACCAAATAATAATAATAATAATAATAATAAACGCAACAGTAATAATAATAAAAATAAGAGGGGTAGATGATTAACATTGCTAAAATGTTACTGCTACCTCTGGTTGATACGTAATGTTCCAATGATCTCATATCGTTTAGAACCAGGATAAAGAAACTGAGGCATTCTGTTAGTATAAGTATGCATGTTAAAATGTTAAGTATAGCCACTAAATGGACAAAAAATAACACATATAACTTCCAAATCTTGGTTAACCCAACACAGGACTGCTAGGAAAAGCATCAGAATTAAAGCCAGGTGACCAGAATCTCAAGTAGAGGAACTAGGAAGGAATTAGTCTATATACAAACTGTTACCCAATAATCAACTTGACTTTGAGCTTAAAACATGCAACAAGCCCAGCAAAAATTAGTGAAGAATTGGGCTGGAACTTGCTCTGGTGGTTCCTTTTGGGCCAGAGGCCACATGGTAACACTGAAACCACGGACCAAGAGTTTGCACTAAGTCTGGAATCGGCATGTCCCAGGGAATGGCCGATGGCCCCTCCCAGTTGGCACAGCCCACAGCACCAGTCAGACGGGGCCAGGTCTCTGTCCTGCATGTTCTCAAGCACCAAAGCACTTACCCCTCATGAGCTGAAACTGTGGTGACACCGCAGCGCCCACCTTACCACCTCTACTTCATAGAGAAAAGTGAAGCTTCTCACGAGATGGTGCTTGCTGGTGTAGCACACCCAGGAAGTGCTGGGTAGGGTGAGTCTCACTAAGCATTCAAGGAGTAGAAACGGATACTGAGAACCCAGGTCTATCTGAAGAAACCCATTCCTGAAGGCAAAGCTCAATAATGACAAAGAACGGATAGTGATACCTAAGCCTGTGCAGGTCAAGAACGGTGCATTGCTGGTGAAAATTACAAACATATCAGAGATGGGTGGCCTCAGGGGTGCAATTTGAATTTATGATATTAAGAATGTACAGTATATTGTTGTTTTATAAGTTCTCACTGACCACACAGAGATGGGTGAATCTTGAATACCTAAGCATATCCTGGAAACCTAAGTAGACACTTCAATTCATTCTCAGAAGATAAAAATACCAACAAAAAGTGTATAATAATTGTACATAACCATCTGCTAAGAGTTTTAAGCAAAATTCTTGCATTGGAAGGGAAAATAATTTGAGGCACTGAGGCCAGGAAGTATCTGGGGCATGAGATTCACCTCAGACAACCATCCCCATTTGTCTGAGAGTCAGTGGCCTCCCAGTTCATTAACAAAGACACATTGTGGGTTATCTGAATTGAGCTAGTCACCCACTGGTGGCCTTGAAGCCAAATGCATGACACAAGTGATTCCACCAAATACCTGGAAGTATCTGCAGTGGGTGCAGCCCAAATGGAACTAAAACTCACTTAGCTGCTTCTGCAAAGGGAATTCTGGAATAAGTAATATTTTGGAAGACAATTAAAAGATCAATCTTGAAATTGAGATCTTCCCCCCACTAAACGGTGGGTAGGAGCCTCCAACATCCCTGGGGTCTGTTTTTAATGGAGGGTCAGCCCTGGAATCGAGGTCAGAACTAATATACCTACCTACTTTCACTTTGCTTCCCTGGTCATGCCAATTATTAAGAGAAAAATTTTACAGAAGGACTGCCAACTTAAATCCCTATAATCATGGGTCCATCCCATGAATTAAGACCAAGCTTGGCAAATGTGCTGAGTGAGGAAGAACAATTACCAAGTTCACAGCTCCAGCTTCTGTTTACCCTGAGACTGTCCAGGATCATCATTTATTTCTTGCTGCCTTCTAAGTTTTATTAAGCTGTTCAGAAAAGTTTTAGCCATGCTTTATGGCTATGTGAGCTGCCCTGTATCCATTTCACAACTTGATTCATTCTGATTAAATTGTTCAACTGTTAATGAGTTTTAGATTGCAATATGGAGAGGCAAACAATTCAGAACATTAAGGCAGTAAAATATCTTAATATTTCACAAGTTCTCACAGAAAACATAAAACAAAGGGCTCATTTCTGAGAGGAGAGACTGTAATAATTACCCTCTGTAAAAATAAATGTGCTTGGCTGCCCATACATTCTCAGGCACCTGTGTATTCACATGTAGAGAGCAGGCGGCACACTGAGATCTCATAAATATCCAGAGAAATTCGGATACTTCCCAGCCAATTTCAACAGACGAGATAACCATTTTGACGTATTATTCCAAAGCATTTCTGGGGCTAGACAAAAAATTGATTCCTACTCGTTTACTTCACAGTCGAATGAGCTCTGCACAGGTGAGATGCTGGGTGGCCCAAGCGCTGAGGGCTTGAGGGCTTTGGGATGGATTGGAATTGAGATAGGTGACCAAAACCCAGCCTTCAGCAGTGCGGGTCTCTCCTGCTCCCTCGCCAGCTCCTGTAGGTTCTCAGCCTGCCTCTGTTTCTGGGGGACACAGTGTTTACTTGGACAGTAACTGAGTATAGATTCAATGGCTCACCCTTTGAATATTTTTCACTGGAACAGCCCCCTTCTTGTGAACCATCTGAGAGAATAAACACATAGCAAGAAGAGTCTCCCAAGTTCCTGAGGGTCATGAGATGGCACTGATCACTTGAACTCTGGGGGGAAATTCAATTGCTTCATTTTAAAAATGGGAATTAAAATCCACTTCCAGCCTGAAGGCAAAGGGCTCAAGTTGATGATGTCTTCTGTTCCTTCCAGCTCCAGAAGCCGTGCCTGGAAGACACATGGCTTCATTTCATTTGAGCAGCTCTTCAAATTCAGGAAAAGAAGATAGATTTATATTTGGCTATGAAGATGGGAGAGGTCTTTGCACACTTTTCTTAAAGGAACAATGCATTACTCAGGGATCTGGAAAAGTGTATGCCATATAAATTGCAAGAATATGAAGAATAATAGGGCCTCTGAGGCTGGCAGGAACAGTGATACCATTGTATCTTTATAAGTTGATCATCTCAGGGATTTGACGCAGTGCCAGAAAGGTGATAAGGTCCAAATGACCAGGTTGGCATAATTAGAGACATTTTACAAATGAGAAATATTACTAGACACAATATTAGGCCACAATCAAAGAAACAGAAGAGCTGGGTCTAAGACTCCAGTTTCCTCGACCTGCTCCTCTATTCCACGCTGCCTTTTGGAGAGAACACTGCACATGAAGCCACCCTAAGAAGAGAGAGAAGCCAGGAGCACGTGCAGGAGCGAGACATCTCAGTTCATCCAGACTTGGTATCCATGACTCCCAACGTTTAGAATCACTGGGACAGTACTTCTGCATTTCCCCTTCTTAAGAATCTCCCTTTCCATTCTAAATGTGAGAAATTCCTATTAACATGAATTTTTAAACTGAATTAATATAAATCTATTTTGCTTTAGGAATTTTAAAAGACTGGAAGCACTCCTAGTTGGACAAAACCATATTTAGAATTGGTGATCTGTAGCAGTGAAAAGGCAGAACAACCATTGGGTGTCTTGCGATAAAATTAGCTGCCAGGTTCCAAAACCTAAAGTGAGACCCGAGTCACCTGGGCCTGGCTGCCAAACTCTCAAGTCAAAATGGCAACTGCCCCCCCTTCACTGGGCTCTCCCCTGCTTCCCCACCAACTGCAGCCTTGCATGTAAGACGAGTGCATTTCAGCACAGGCCTGTGTGAAACATCCTAATTGGTTCCAGAAACAAAATTTTCAAAACAATGCTCATTACCAAATACTCCACAAATGCATTGAATCCTAACCTCTCACAGCATCTCTCCTTCCCTGAAATCTCTAGCCTTCGTGTCCTTTGGGCCTGATTTCAGCAGACCCACCTTGGTTTGCATGGCATCACCCACCACATGAAACCACAGAATTCTCCTGGAAACCAGCCAAGTTGGCAGCCAGGGTGCCCTCAGCTATGCCACAGGGACCAGGCTTTGAAAGGGATACCTCAGACAGGAAAAAATATTAATAAGAACAACAAACCAACCCACGGGCTGTATATAACTGTAGATATTCATTCTATTATAAATAAACACTAAAATGGAAGAAGTAAAATGTTTATGAGAATCGTTCCCTCTGTGTAGTCTGTGGATGTTCCCGGAAGCTTTTTTTCCCCCTTATTTTGGTAAAGTACAAGATATCTCAATAGCAACATAAACGCCATATTGTCTACTAGTTACTATAGCAACTACTATCCATGTAATTTGCTCATGCCTAAATTAAAGCTACCTAGGGTAGCTTTAACTTGCATCTCTCACATATTACCTTTTGATGGTGTTTTTCTTTAATGAGAATTGTGTCTCTTAAATTGTAGGCAGGATGCTGTAGCAATCTGCCTCACTTGAAGCTGACTTTTCTTCACCTGACTTTGTTTCCCTTATTACTCTTAGGCGTTCATCAAAGAAAGAACATACTTTCTTGATGGAATGTATGTTTCATGGGAGAGGAGAAAGGGAAGAAGAAGCAAGTTTTCCGTGTGAAAAGAACATAAGCATCTCCTTCGCTCTGAACTTCACTGCTCTTGACCTCAGCAATTCTTTTCTGCCTCTTCATTCCACACAATGCAAAAGACATAACCTGAATGAGAACAGGACAGAAAAAGGTACTGAAATCCACTAAAGAAAAGGCTCAATAGTTAATCAGCTCTTCTCTGGCATCCTTCCCTCAACCATACAATATAAACAAATTAAGGAGTTCTTCAATTTTTGTGACCATAAGCAGAGTGGTGAATTAAGGTTCCTAAATGCTAGCACTGGATAAATGAATTCATTATTGAGAAAGTTCTGGATGAGTCAGTAGCCAAGGATTTAATAACTCCACTGAAGATGCCTGTTTGTGTATATTCTAGGGTAGAGTTGGAAGAGAAATATTGCTATGAAGGAGGCACTAAACATGTCTGCTTTTATTAAATATTGCATTTCAAACTAAAGATTTACTATGCTTTTCTAAAAGAACTCAAAATTCTCCAAGATATGCAACGTGGTTCTCAAAAGCTGCATCAGCATGTAGGTGGTTACAACTACCTAATGAGTTTTGACGGATTAAATATCCACCTGGAATAGAATCAGGATGCACTCATAAGAAAGCCTTCGGGGTCACTGTCCACCATGGAAACCCTCTGTACAGACAGCTGAGAGTCTCCAAAATGCCACTCTGCACAACTCCTGAGGGACTCTCTATAGGAAGTCCACCTTTAATATTTTCATTTGTGCCCTCAATACATTTCCAGCATTCTTAATTCATATGCAGAATTTTCTTTAAATTGGATCCACTTTGCAAATCCTTCTTTTCCCTGCAAAGCTTTATCTAAACCTCAGTGCCTGAGTGCCGGCTACTCCCAGCAGCGTAGAAGCTCAGAGTCAGAAAGCACTGAGTGCTTCTGGACTGCAGCAAGCCTTTCCATTTGCCGGTTTAATCCTTCAGACTTCCCGGTTTCCCATTTGGTCCTTCACATCATCTTGGGCTAATCCGTCAAGCATTTTAGACAGCGCAGCCAATCTCCAATTGCTGAGGACTTTGCCACAAGCACCATGTCTGTTAATAAGATTTTCATTTGGAAAGATGCCAGGGCGTCCATGTTTTCTCTCACATATAAATACTAAGATTTAATAGCTGCAGGTTTTGTTTAATGTTAACGTCAACTATTTAAAAGAGAAAAAAAAGAAAGAAGGTTCTCAAATGCCTGGCCCACAGTGAAATACCCCACTGACAGCTATTTGCAAGGGTAATGTTGTGGAAAACAACATCCATCTTGGAAACAGTTTCATTAGCCCCATCTAGCTGACCTCCCCACATAATGTTGTCAAATGTGACGGGCATCAGATTATTGGGAATATGGAGATCAATAAATATGCAACACCGGCGCTTAGAATGCTTCTGGCACCGGAGTCATACAAATGCCATCTAACATGGCTCAGAGTCGCTGTCATCTGTCACACCAGCTAGTAAATAGACAAGCTTAAGGGGAAGGCTATCCGTAATGGTAAAATATATGAGTGAAGATGAATTAGACAGGGAGAGTGTAGTCAAGGTTCTGATGCATGAAGGTTCCAAATGAAAAACACCAGGCAGACCCTCTGGAGCAACAGCCTGCCTTCTTTGGGGAATTGATGTGAATTCTTGCTGCATGGTCAACAGCTGCTCCATGGGCCTGCCTCTGAGTTTTCCACGTCTGCTGCCAACCGAGTTATGTCTGCTTCGAGGATGCCTGCTAGGAGCCTGAAGGGTCTCAAGTGCATTTCTGCACAACACAGGGAGCCAGAGCACACATTTCCCCAAATTCTTGAACGTGTCAACTACAATGTATCTTTCCACATGATAGCTGCCGGGGCCAAAATAAGTGCCTGCATTGTCCAACTACTCTCACCTCAAGTGCCTCCACCTTTGGGCCCACCAATGAGCTATTTGGTGGAATTGCTAAGTGAAACTTCAACCCAAGCTGATGATCATCAAATTCCCAGATAATCAGACCTTTGAGAACCTCTTCTGATGGCAACTTCTGCACCAGGCCACCCGCTTCTAAGATCTCCAGTGCTGCCTGCCCAGTCCAAGGGTGGCAGAGCACCACAATGGCCAGCCCACTCTGCACATGCACACTCTGCCTGACATTGTGGGCCCTGGTTCCACCCCCAACCGTTGGATCAGATTCCCCAGCCCAGGAGCCACTGCCTGGCTGACCCATTTTCATAAACCCCCTTTCCCCTCCAAAAAGTGCTTAAATCCAGTCACATCTGCCCTTGGGTTAAAGGAACCTAAAGCAAACTGAATTCCCCAAACAACAAGCACAGCAGGTGTGAGCTGCGTGTGTGCAGACGTCCTCAAACGGACACTGTGCACCAGAACAAATGTGTCCCTCCAACCCAATTAATGGTGATGACCAGTGATGACCAGCATGCTCCCACCCCTCTGTGTTTTAAGAAATGTCATTCATCTCTATGGAAAAGAGAACAAACAAGAAGCATAAAGGTATTTTTGAAGTATACTGTTATGAGGTACTTGGCTAGTAATTTGCAGCCTAGGTACACACCATACCTTTTAGCACGGCTATTTATCTCTCAGAGAGAATGCTGCCGTACTTACGATAAAGGCTCTGTTGGACCTCTTCATCAATAGCAAACCTTTAAGCACAGCACATCTCATAAATAGGAGTTCCACTAACACAGACTTCAAAAGGATAGAACTTGATAATTCAAAAATAGAGCTATATTAAGTGTTCCAGCAGTCCATCCATAAAAGCCGTTGTATATTCCAAACGCCCGAGTCCTCCGAGCAACATGACAGGTCTATTAGAATAATAGCAGGGGAAAGCATAATTACAAGTAATCATTGGCTGGAAAGGAGCTAGTTGTTTTTGTAGAGCAAAATACCGCGCTGAGCCCCTCGGAAAATGCAGCCCCAGCAGCCGCGGCGAGGGCAGATAACCATCGAAAATAACCATGGCGCAAACCCTGCACTATTTATTTCTATTTATTAAGAACTCTTTGTATACCTTAATGTTTTCCTGGTGAAATCATCTTAATTTGAGCCCACATTTTCTTTGGACAAGATCATGACGTAATTGCTACTTACCAGCCACTATTTTCTATACATTTGTTGGTCAAACAGTTAGGGTGTCTGCCTTTTCCAGCCCGGCAGAGAGATCATTCCGCCAGGCAGGGCTCCTGGGTGGCTCCATGGAGCCATATTGTATAGACATATGTGCCAAGAGGAAGAGGAGAGGTTGGCTGGATACAGCTTTTTAATCCACAGATTAATGGCTCTAGCTGTCAAAGGATTGGGTGTCTCTTCACTGAGGTGGTGAAGAATGGGCTATTCCTGGGCTGTTTTCCTGGGAGCTGGACTGAATCAGATACCAGAAAGCCCAGTCCTCTGCTGGCTTTTGTTTTATCCTCCTCCTTATTTGCACAGATTCTCTACCTGAGTCAAACATTTCAGAGTTTCCAAAATGCAGGAAGAATAAAAGGTCTCATCTGAGCCTTGTCAACAGCCCAGAAGGGAGTCAGGACAGGGATCTGAGCTCATTTTGCAGAAGTACAAATCCAGGTTCAGGAAGTGAAGGGACTCCTGGAGGGTACACAGTCAATGTACACATGGGACCTGAGTCCTCCTTCCCACTGCGCCCCGCCATCCTGCCCTGTCAAAATGTTTGCAGTGCAGCCGATCTCCGTCTCACTTGTTCTCTGGGAAGCACCTGTGAAGATGAAGGTATATGTGTGGGCTACCATGCAGGTGCCAGTAGGATCTCAACACATTGCAAGAGGCAGGTGCCTCAGCCCCAGCCTCCAGGTAGAGCCTCCGTCAACAGGATGTGCTGTCTGCCAAGTCAGATCTGCCTGCACCACACCGTCATTCACTCACTCACCTAACAGCTACTGACTCAGGAACAGGGCACCATGAGTCAAGGGAGGTGGGGGAAGGAATACACCAAAATCAAATTTCTAGCCCAGCATGAGAAAAACAAACATTTGATGGCACCCCCCAACAACAGAAGGTGGTGCTGGTATTGAACACAGGACAAACACCAGGGAGCCATGGCGGAAGCGAACACTTGGAACTCCAGCTCTTCCACTGCTACCTGGCCACTGATTTAACCTCACTGATCCTCAGTTTCCTCACCTAGCAGAGGGAGTGACAATACTGCCCAGCTCAAAGAGTTGTTGTAAAATAGATTATTCATGTGATGGGCCTAGCACTATATGTCACAAGCAGGAAATACTCACTGAGTGGCCTCTTGTCTCAAGTCATAGGAAGCCAGAGGAAGAAATGTGGCCCAGAGACCCTGCATTCTTAGGAAAGGTTCCCTGGAGATGATAGGAGCCCAGCTGGCCCTTTTTAAAAAACTTGCACCCTGGGCCTGGTCATGGTGACCCACAAGCTCCACAGGTCTCCTGCCAGAGGCTCATGTTAATAAAACAAGGAGAGAAGAGGCTATGGCGCTCGGGTTTGTAGGGGAAGAACATGCTTCTCACCGAGACCCCTGGCAATATAGTATGAGTTGGAATTTAAAAACATTTTGGATTTCAACAGTATATCAAAGCTATTTATAAACTTGTAATACAAAATTCTACCCCTTCCTCTGATTCAAGTTCAAAGTTGGTTTGAAATAGTGAAACCATATACCATCAAAGCCAGATTAGAACCCCCAACAATCCCATGTATGTAGGATGTTAGCTACTGGATTTTCAACTTCTCAAGAGCAAATCTTCATCCTCTGGTGAGATAAGGTTCCCATAATGCCCAGCAAGACCATGTCCTTGGGGACAACAGGGAAGAGGATGGTGGTGGTGATGGTGATGGTGATGGTGGCAATGACCATAGAAGCCAAGAGTAAAGAAAGTTAATCCCAGGGTTAGTTTTGAGAAAGAAATAGAGCGCAGTGAAGAATGCTAATCCACCTTCCACCAGTGGGAACCGCAAACATCGAGGCCTGGGACAGAGGCACTGCGCCTTCCCTCAGCTTCTTCTGAATGGGGGGCGGGTTGGACTAGCTGGGGATCCACACTCTGAGATCTGTCAGAGGGCTTCCTGTGGAGAGATCATGGGCATTGCAGGCTCAGAAAAGACACAAACAAGTTATCCCAAGTAGGCAGGAATCTGTAAGTCTTAATCAATGCCACCATTTCTGTGTTTGGGAATGTGACCCATAGCTGGCTCTATGGAAACTGGTGCTAGTCCCAGGCCACTCCTCCTTGAACCCACCACCAGGTTTGTCAGGCGAGTTCTGAAATCACCTCTTGAAGAAAGCCTCATTACCCAGTGACATGTTGTAATCCCAGCCAATGCTCCCAGGAAAGTTTCAATGTCCATTACATTAGCTAGCCTTAAAATTGAATACAAATCCATTTTAATCAATATGTTGTAATAAATAGATATTAAGGCGCCATGGCACTAATGTACAGGTAGACTAATTAAAGCGCTGGCATTTGCAGCACTCACATACCTCAATTTTCTCTACAAAATCCTTATTGAACCACTGCTTTAAAAAAAATAATTGCATTTGCAATTAGAAACACTGAAGTTACATTATCGATTTTCTGCTAAAAACCTTTTTAGTAAACAAGCACAAACTACATTCATTAAATGTAAGTGCTTGGAGCTATGGTGTGAAATTCAATTCAGCCATTATCATGAATTACACTGATTATTGCTGTAATTATTTTCTCTTGGATACAACTGCATTTCTGTCCCTTGCTAGTTCTGTTGGACATATAACCATGTTCATTTTATAGCTAATAATACTCAACTGTAGTCCCAGCAATTACTATCACTTATACAAATCATTAAGTTAAGCTACGGGTACCTAGTAAGATTCAAAAAAATTAAGTAAAACATCCTTTTTTACCCTTGAAATAACTAATAGCATTGGAGAACAAGGAAAATTACAGATGTTAACTGATTCACATTGCAAGCTTTAATCACTTCTACTTGACTTGTCAGAAATTTCCGTTGTCCTAACCACACATTCTGAGAAGAAATCTACCAACAGATGTCTTTCCCCACCTCCCCAGAAATGAGCAGTCAGTAGACTGGCGTACACATCTGCAGCATTCTCTGGGTGGAGACAACCATGATCATACAGTGTATTGCAAGAGAACAAATTCTATGCTTTAATCTGAGCAAATCATGACCTTGCATTTTTATGTGTGTTTGTTTAGGATTCTTATTAACCAAACAGATTTTAGAAAAGAAATTTCCTTTTTACTTTTTCTTCCAGAAGCAGCTAGGTTTATATTGTTCTTTTAGTGAATCCTCTAGGGAAAATAGATATTTTCTAAGGAGATCTCCCTTCTCCCCTGGGGTGAGGGCACTGTATGGCCCACGCAAGGGTCGTAGAAGTAACTTGGCAATATCCCTCCAAGTAAATGTGGTCTCAGGGGGATCCCACAGGGAACTGAAGATTGGCCTCAG